ATGCTTTGGACAACCAAAATGAACTCCAAAAATGACCCTAAGACATTGACATAAGAAGTAGTGGTAAGCATTCAAGATATAATTAAATGACTACATGAGAATTAAAATGAAGAATAAAATATGTAGTAGCTATTTGCTCTGCTCTGCTAATATGAACACAGTACTTATATACAGATAAGAGGAGAACGGGAAGAATATATAAAAACACTTTAAAAATATATTTTATTTTTGTTTTAGAATTGGTATTGTAAGTCTGAGATACTGTCTATGAAATGTGAAATAAAACTAATGAGTAATTATGAGATAATCTAATTCTGTCATCCTCTATGTCCTTGATAATCAGGAGTCATAATGGGGCAGGAAAGAGATACTGATGTCATATAGAAGAGATTAGGTAAAAACTTTATGTCCTGAATTTAAATGGAAAATAGTAGAATAATCTCAGGCAAAATCCTCAAAACAATGAATAACTGCAGCAATGATTGTCATTGGAGTCTAGATTATGACCTTGAAACACCATTTCTCAATAAATAAACCCGGGCTTTTCAGAGAAAGTTGTTGATTTGGAATAGAACATGGATGAGTTTGGAACAACTTGTCATAGCTGAGAACAAGGGAGCTTTGCCAAAGATTACTAGAGTCTCATCAAAAGAACCTGTGGGCCAATTTGACAGAGCTCCCCATTAGCACAGTTGGGATCATTTGACCAACCATAACATATCATTGTAATGGATTGAAACCAATGAAGTCTGTTTAAATCTTTGAGTTCATAATGACATTTTTATAGTAATAATTGGTCACCTTAAAAGGTTGATAGGAAGCCAATTAATTACATAAAATTAAGTAAAGGTAAAAACACAAATTTATCTTGCCTTTTCCATATGAATTATACTAATGAGTAACCAATAATACATGAGGAGAAGTACTTTATTATAAAAGTATTCCAACTAATAAGTGAAAAAGGAATACTTTTATGAACTGCATGAATCAATGATCTAAGCAGTGAATATCAGTACTACTAACATCACAAAAAGAGAGACAACCAGACATTACGTGTCTGCCCATGAAATACTATGACTCCACCTATGGCCTTGCCAAAGGGATCAAATCTGAGTCTGATAAAACTCTGAATTCAGCTGTCAACCTAAAGGAAATACAGAAGACAGATGAATATGTGAACTATACCATGAATGTGCACCTAGCAAAATCCAGACTTCCAAAAACTATAGGTTAAATGGCTCAGGATCTTCAACTGTAAATGGAGAAAATGGAGAATCTGGATTTAAATATGTAAAAGACATTGCAAACAAAACAGCTAGATCTATTCATTGCTGTGTCCTTCAGCTCCAAATTATTTAACCACTAACTCTATGCAAATTGATTTGAACTTCCAGGCTCTGAATTTCATGTTAAAGTGCACAGTTCTGGAAACATCTTTTAAATTAAAATTTTAAGACAAAAAAGGTTATCGCTATATGTTTGGACATTTAAATTTAATTTTTATTTGATAATTAGCTTAGCCAAAGAATGGTTATCTTGTGGAATTGAATGTATTCAGTTTACAAATGAATAAAACCACCAAAAAAGAGAAGCTTTTTAACTAATCTTTTTTTTCAATGCAACTCTATGTAAACATGTCACCCATACCCTTCATTTTAAGTCCTACATCTTTGATATGTTTATAAACAGAATGAGCAACTACTGACACCTTTCATAGCTGTAAATTTACAATTTCAGGTCTAAAATTACTATTATGAAATACATTTCTGTATACCTTAAGTGTTTTATTTATTGCCTTTTAGTGTCTTTTGGAACCAGGAGAGGGCACTGCAGAGCAGTGTAGCTCTAAGTACTTGCGACAGAGTCAGAAAATGTCCTTTACTAAAAGAAATGTGCAAAGCAATACTACAGAAATAAGAAAAACTGAAGGAATAACTAGATAATCACTATAGACTTTTTTATTTACTACAAAACAGGACAGATAAAATATTTAACTAAATACATATCTAGGCTATCAAATGGAGATATATAGATGATAATGGATAGAGAGATATAGATGTAGATATAGGTATCTCCTTTCAAGAAAATCCCAAAGCTGAATCTCCTATTACAATATTTATTTTTTTCACTACTTCTGCTGTTAGTGGTAAAACCAGTTCTCAAATACTCCCTTGTACAGATTTAGAGTATATTTTGTTTTAATCAGTTCAAGTTTAGGACAAAGGATATTCAATACAGAAATAACTTTAGAAACAATGTAATAAACATTATTCACAGTTTCTGCAAAGGTTTTTCCAAACATAAAGAACACTGTTTTAAGTAGCAGCTGCTCAATTGCAGGGCAGTAGATAGGTGATTGAGTTCAGACCATCACCTTACACTAGGAAAAGATAACAAAGGCATGTCATCGTCTTGTGAAGATGAAATCAGAGTAATGGGACTCTAGGTCTTCTGAAACGTGCTGTCCCAGGCTCCCTGTGGCCTAGGCCTTTCTTATGTCTGTGTGCGCTTAGGTATGGAAAGAGCAGAAGTGCCACCATGATGGGACTGTTCAGCTGTGTGTTCAGTTTCCACTGTGACTCTAAACAGCATTCCTTAGATGTGCTGTCTATGCAAGGAAGTTAAATCAATGCCAGAAGTCATATCTTCAGGGGATGGGAGGAGATTTAAGAAAGTTTCATGATATATCATGGTAAACAGCCTTCTGTGTGCTATCCTGAATATGTAATTTCTAAATATCTGACATCTACACTTATCTTCTTGTCTAAATATTAATTTATTCTCCTGAGTGTTCTAGTGAATAATGAAACCAATTCAGTTTTTCATTATTGAATGAAATGAGTGCCATCTTTCCTTGTGTGAGAAAATTTGCCAATGTGTTCAATGATCCTTACCTTTATTAGAGATTTTTCTGTGAAATATAAAAATTATATTGTTAGTTTTTTTAATATATGTTTATTGATTTTTTTTACAGAAAGGAAAGGAGAAGGATAGAGAGTTAGAAACTTCGATGGGAGAGAAACATTGATCAGCTTCCTCCTGCACACCCCTTACTGGGGATATGCCCACAACCAAGGTACATGCCCTTGGCCGGAATCGAACCTGGGACCCTTCAGTCCGCAGGCTGATGCTCTATCCACTGAGCCAAACCGGTCAGGGCCATATTGTTAGTTTTGATGTTATCTAGGTTGTCAGTTGTGGCTGAAAAGACCAATTTATGACCACCAGTTCTTCTCCAGCTATGGCTATATGGACATGTTGGTTGACAGTACAATATTTGTTTATAGATGTGTTTGCAAATTGGAGCTCTGTAACTTTGCACCTCAAATTACTTAACTCTTGTTTGAAAGAAACTAGATGGTCTGTATTTACTGAATCCAGAATTGTTCTGTGTCCTGCTTTTCCTTTCCTTCCCTCAACTTTGTTTGGAACATGGTATGTTTTGTAGTGTTCCTTCCACTTGCCTTGCTTAAAGACTCACCTAGCTCAGCACTTACAGTGTGCACCGAATTAATTTGCCTTATGCATGCATTTCCAACTCAGTCCTTTACTCACAGCATCCTTGGCCTCTAGAAATCTTAACTGTCCCTCAAGGCCCACCATAATTTCCACTTCTCCAAGTAAGTTTTTGCCTACTATTTCAGGCACATCTATTTCTTCCCCACCCAAAGTCCTACAACCCCTCTTTTTTCTACTGTGCATATCGCCCAGCACTTTACTGTCTACTGCATCCTACTTTTTACTGATTACCTCATATGTGATAGCCTTACCTTTGTAACTAGGTGTTTTAATTCTAGTAAGCAAAAACTCTGATTCGTAGTTACCCTATATCTCCAATAGCCTATCTCACAATAAGTGCCCAGGAAGTCTAATCTAAACAAAATGACCAGCTCCTTGTCCAAGTATTATCTTTGGTCTGACTACTGGAGTTACACTTTCTAGTTACTGTGGTGAGTCTCTCTCAGGGTGTTGTGCTTCTTTGTTCTTTTCTCTGCCTGGCTCCCTATATACCTGTCACCATCTGACTTCTGCAGCTATCAAGCAGGCCCGAGCTCAGGGAATGCATCTTCTAGTTTTTAGTCAGCCTCTAGTATTTTTCTTTTTAGTCCTTTTCCCTGGAATAATTTCATCATCATCAACTTGGAAGAAACCTCAGAAACTATTCTTATTTCTCCCCATCCTTATCATTCAGATTAGTATTGAGCCTCAGGCCAAAAACCTGACACAGAAGCAATGTAGAGGAGAGAACATTTTATGGAACAATGGCAATAAGGAGTCCTATATTCGTTTCAGTGTTAAATTCTTTGGAAACTGAATAGTCTATCAAGGTAACATTATTACTAGTGAGCATAGCCAATGCATCTTTCCCATACCTGGACAAGCTTGTTTGTAGTTCTGCCTTAAAAAAAAAGTAAAAGTAGAAAATAAAACTACATGATAGAATCAATTGTATGATGATGCTTTTTATTAATTTTTTAAAAATATGTTTTATTGATTTTTTACAGAGAGGAAGGGAGAGAGATAGAGAGTCAGAAACATCAATAAGAGAGAAACATGGATCAGCTGCTTCCTGCACACACCCCACTGGGGATGTGCCCACAACCAAGGTACCTGCCCTTGACCAGAATTGAACCTGGAACCTTTCAGTCCGTAGGCCAACGCTCTATCCACTGAACCAAACCAGTTAGGGCTTGAGTTTTTTTTCTTTTAGGGAGAGAGAGAGAAAGAGAGAGAGAGAGAGAACACTGATCTCTTGTTCCATTTATTGATGCATTCATTGGTTGATTCTTCTATGTGCCCTGACCGGCGATGGAACCTGCAACCTTGGTGTATCAGGATGATGCTCTAACCCACTGACCTACCTGGCCAAGGATGTTGATGCTTTTTGAAAAAATTCAAGTTTAATATTTTAAGTGTTATCTATTTAATGTATGTAATGATTTGTCAGTATATTAGTCCTCTTTTATTACAAAACTAAAGTCATGCTCATAATTTTACAGCTTCGCAAGTCTGTTTTCAGCATCAGGGCAAGGAATCTTCTAGAAAAGGAGACCGCAGTCACTAAAATCTTAAGGTAACAATGTGTTTTAAAACAGTGGGATTATATTAAGCAAAAAAGAGCTTTTCTAATGAACGAAATTTCCAAGTATCAATATATGCTTTCTGCTAGAAAGTAAGTGTGGTTAACTGTTCACTTACAAACAGTGTCAAATACCTCATTAACATTTTTTCTGAAACAGTAATATTTTACTAGCTCAATTGGCCATTTATTTTATTTTCAGGTACTTAAACACAAATTATAATTATAAACTTTTACAAAAAGGTGAAAATATTTACTTTTATTCCTACAAGTCATGTCATTTTTGATAGCCAAAGGACTAATCATAATCTAAGGGGGAAAATAGTAAAAGGGTAAACTTTTTAAAAGTAATTGTGATTTATTGATTTTTTAAGAATCAGTTTATTTAAAATCTATAAGAATCAAAAGTATATTCATTTTAGAATGCTTATAAAACATAGAATATTAATGCTGAAATCTAAAATCTACCTTGAAGTGAAATAATAGAAAGGAAAATTAAGCTACACACTTAAGAGTATTTTACAAGACTATGTTATAATATAAAGTAATGTGATCATTGTAAAAATTCATAAGCACTTGTAAGTTATTGGTACATAATGACACAGTTAAATATTGGGAGCTGAAGGTAGAATGACCGACAAGGTAAATGGGTAAATGTATTCTAGGAAGCTCTCTTCAAGCTTGTGTGAAGGGAAAGGAGTCCCTTCTACTCCACTTTCATTAATAGGAACAGTCATTAAAGCATTTCCCCCAGAATGTAGCTCACTGTGACTTGTATAACTGTAATTTAAAATAGCACAAATATATGATTTGACAAACTATTTCAACTTTTTAACAGTACCTGAAATTTATATGCCAAAACCAATTCTAACTAATCAAGACAATATTCAGTGTATTTATTTTTTATGTTAATTGGCAATTCATGCATAGGATTAAATATGTATTGGAGTACCTTTTATGAAATGAGAATAAATATTTCTAGGGCTTCTATATTATCATCACAGAATATGATGAGATGAACCTAAAAGGTCTTCTTGAAATAGGAACAGGAAAGCTTCTAAGCAAATTTATAACAACCTGTGTCCCAACTTACATTTCCTTCCAACTGGCTCAATTCTGGCATTACCATCAACAACACCATGAGGCCAGCCTTGAACACTATGTGGTACAACAGGGTTTTTATCAAGCTGTAACTAGACAAGTTCATGGCCAGGCCAATTCCTAGGGTCTTGAAGACTACCCGCAACTCACACAAAACAGATCATGTGCTGGACCAGCCCTGCGGGTGTGTCAGTGTGCTCATGAGGAAGAGAATTCTGCTTCAACCAGAAATGGCCTACAAGGAGATTGTAATACTCTGTATTCAGAATCTACCTGCAAAAAGTAGGGACCAAAACAACCTTATTCACCTATCCAGAATAACTGCCTTTCCACTGATGTGAATTTTCCCTAGGGGTTTCCAGAGACTTCCAGAGTATGGGTAGACAGGGACACTTGGAAGGAAGCAGTTTCTTCCAGAGCCCCACTTTCCACTGAACTCATTCTTAAATTTGATCTTCCACTTTTTCTTTTCCAGATCCCTTTCCTCATTCACCTCTCTCCCAGTTTACAAAGGAAAGATGAAACTCTCACTCATCCATCTAAAAGAAAGGTGAAACTTTGTGTAGTGTATTGATCTGAAATGTAAATTCCTCTGGGTTGCCAAACACAGGGACTATTCCCACATGGCTTTCAGGCAGCACCTTATTGTCCAGGTGACAAATTTCTGTAAAACTTCCTCCCAAGAATTTAGCTACTTAAAGTTAAGCCTTAGAAATGACTTGGTTGTCACAATGGGCTGTTATTTGAATTGAAAAATAAAGTCGGCTTTTTTCTGAGAGATTTAGCTGGTTGGTTTGGCAATGAAAAGGACTTCATAGGTGCCCAATGACATAAAATTGAATGGATTGGATGGATGAGATTCTCCAAGGAAAGGAAAATTTAATTGCTGATTTGTAAATGTACATAAGTGGTTTTAAAAGAGAGAAAATTTATGGGGTACTTGAGCAAAATAGTTAAGACTATCAGGGATTAGAGGCACTCTCAGACTTGTGCAATAGCTTGAGGGGCACCCAAAGGCAACAGCGTACCATACTACAAGATGAGAAGGAGCTACTTGAGGCTGCTTAAGCCCTCTCATCCAGTTAATCTCAGAACAGAAGAGGCTACAATTAGGAAAAAATTAAGATTTATTGAAAGAACACATATTCAATCTTTAGAATAGTCATTTAGCTCTTTTCTTCTGTAAAAAGTTTTCCTAACCTCTGCTCACTAGTCTGTGCAGTAATTAAGGACAAGTGCAAAATGTTAAAAGGATAGTTTCTTTGGTTGTACTTTTCTTTTTTTACTAATAATGATAGTAGAATTAATAATAATAATATCATGCCTGCATTATAATGTAACCAACCCATAAATTAGAAAGTCGAGAATAGTTTGAGTCCATGTCTATGAGTTCATGGGCATTTTTCTATGCTGTTTATTTATTTATTTTTTAATAAACAACAACTAAAAAGAAAAAAAGAGAGAGAGATTCAAAAGAAATTTAAAAAAAAAAACACCTTTACAATCACCTCAGGACAAATGATTGTAAAAACCTTACACAAAATGGGGAAGAAGGAAAAGTTTCCACCACTCTCTGTGTCTTCTCACTCTCTCCAGAGCCTCTCCTCCCCTAGGCTCTAGAAATTTATTTATTTATTAATATATTTTTATTGATTTCAGAGAGAAAGAGAGAGGGAGAGAGAGAGATAGAAATATCAGTGATTAGAGAGAATCATTGATCGGCTGCCTCCTGCACACTCCCTACTGGGGATCGAGCTTGCAACCTAGGCATGCGCCCTTGACCAGAATCGAACCCTAGACTCTTCAGTCCACAGGCCAGTGCTCTATCCACTGAGACAAACCAGCTAGGGCAAGACTCTAGGAATTTAAAGATGGGAGGAGATGCTGTTAGAACAGCCCTCACCACCCCCCCCACCACCCCAATCTTGGGTAACACAGGATACTGGACTGGTATTAGAAGGCCTGGACTGGTGTCTGGTTCTGCTTCTCTATAACCTTGAGCAACTCACTTATCTGATCCTCAGTTTTCTATCTGTCTTTGCCATGTAGACTGCCCAAAAATGTTGTCTGAGTAATCTGTTGATCAAGCAAAGTGAAATTTAATAGTTATTACGGTGAAGGAAACCAACACGTCAGCAGTCTTACTAATGTCTCAGAAGGGATAGTTAGGATTGATATTTTTAAGGTTTTGGATTTGAATTTAAGTGCCTTTAGGCAGGGATATCTGATTGAGATTGGGCAGAAAATTCTTGATAAGAGTTTAGATCATTTCACTATATATACAAATATAAAATAATTATGTTGTATACCTAAACTAATATAATGTTATATGTCAGTTATATCTCAATAAAGAAAAAAGGAGGATAAGGACTCCCCAGAATGTGCAATCCTATCTAATGAAATAGTAATGTGCAAATTAACTGTCACACCCTCACTCCATCAGTCCGTCACAAAGATGGCAGTGGCCACGGAGCTGGAGCAAGCAGGAGGCTTAGGTTGCCACTAGCGATGGAGGAAGTCAAGCTTCCCGCCTGCCCTGGCTGACCCTGAGCTCTGCTCAAGGCTACAAAGTTTCAATTATAGAAGATAAATAAATCCCAGATACCAGCCTGTGTGACCTCCACTCAAGGAGGGGCTGGGAAGGCAACCCAGGCTTTGAGCTGGACCAAGGCTACAAAGTTTCAATTATAGAAGTTAAATAAATCCCAGATACCTGCTTCCAGCCTACAGCCCCTCACCCAGGCTGGCCAGGCACCCCAGTAGGGCACCCACCCTGAAGGGGCTGTGGACAGCCTGAAAATGGCCCTCAGCCCCTCACTCAGGCTGGCCAGGCACAGCAGTGGGACACCCCCTACCCTTCCTGTTGCTCCCACAGAGGGAGCTCTGCTCAGCCACAAGCCAGGCTGATGGCTGCCAGTACAGTGGTGTTGGTGGGAGCCTTTCCCACCTCCTCAGCAGCCCTAAGGATGTCCGACTGAAGCTTAGGCCTGCTCCCCACTGGCAATTGGACATCCCCCGAGGGCTGCCAGGCTGCCAGAGGGATGTATGATTGCCATCTTAGGCCCAATCCCCTGGGGAGCAGGCCTAAGCCAGCAGGTGGACATCCCCCAAGGGGTCCCAGACTGCAAGAGGGCACAGGCTGGGTTGAGGGACACACCTAAGTGCACAAATTTTTGTGCACTAGGCCTCTAGTAGGTAATAAGCACCTGTTATGAACAGTTAACCAATACTGCTCTGGGGAAGGCAGCTCTGTGGGTGAGGGATGAGGAAGTGGTAACATACCTTTACCTCTTTACTATCTTCCATGCTCTTTCTACCGGTGTGCCTCCACACTCCAGTTATCAGTTATCAGATGGACTTTACACTTCGTTTTTTCACTTTTCTTCTTGACTTGGGGTGATTTCTGAGAAGAGGAAGAATAAATGGTGACTTTATGTTTCCATCTCCACTCCCGGAATCTATTTTATGCCTTTTGAATTTTCAATCATATACATGTATTGCTTTTAAAAAATAAATTCAACTAATTTTCAGAAATAGTATTTTTTTAAATGGTTAGGATTGGTGGATCTAGCAGGGCAGAATCTTGGCCTGAGCCTTGATAAGTACAATTATTTATAGGTGACTGGTTGACCAGTTGAGTGACCTATTGTCTAGAGAGGCTGGTTCATTAGTCTGTAGTTCAGATGAATGGATTTTTGGAAAGTTCCCGAAGCTAACAGTGGAATTACTTATTGGTTAATGGCCTTAAATTCCTGGACAGACATTTCCTGGAATGGATAATAAAGTCATATTGATGTAGAGAGCTTAGTTCTTGAAATTGATAATTAAGCTACGGGGCTGCCAGTGGTCCCAGTTCTCAGGGGATCTGCCATTTGACATGAGGATCCACGTGA